TACTACTAGTAAGGCACTTGTTACTAGAAGCGATGCACTTGTTTCTATTAGCTTCTTGTTACTACTAGTAAGGCACTTGTTACTAGAAGCGATGCACTTGTTTCTAATAGCTTTTTGTTACTACTAGTAAGGCACTTGTTACCAGAAGCGATGCACTTGTTTCTAATAGCTTCTTGTTACTACTAGTAAGGCACTTGTTACCAGAAGCGATGCACTTGTTTCTAATAGCTTCTTGTTACTACTAGTAAGGCACTTGTTACTAGAAGCGATGCACTTGTTTCTAATAGCTTCTTGTTACTACTAGTAAGGCACTTGTTACCAGAAGCGATGCACTTGTTTCTAATAGCTTCTTGTTACTACTAGTAACAAGTGCCACGCTACTAGTAACAGGTGCCTTACTAGTAGTAACAAAGAAGCTATTAGCATTAAATCTAAATTAAGCCAAATTAACTAATAGCTTCTTGTTACTACTAGTAAGGCACTTGTTACTAGAAGCGATGCACTTGTTTCTAATAGCTTCTTGTTACTACTAGTAAAGCACTTGTTACTAGAAGCGATGCACTTGTTTCTAATAGCTTTTTGTTACTACTAGTAAGGCACTTGTTACCAGAAGCGATGCACTTGTTTCTAATAGCTTCTTGTTACTACTAGTAAGGCACTTGTTACTACTAGCGTGGCACTTGTTTCTAATAGCTTCTTGTTACTACTAGTAAGGCACTTGTTACTAGAAGCGATGCACTTGTTTCTAGTAGCTTCTTGTTACTACAGAGCTTCGTTTCTTCGTTCAACGAAAGAAAAGAACATAATGCAATCGGTTGAATGTTGAAGGGCGGATTGGATATCCTGATGTTGAGTGATCTTGGCGGATCGGGTAGACGCGGATGGCATGTGTGGTCCTGTTTGGCTCCTGTGCGTGTGAGGCGGGAATGCCATTTCAGTCTCTTGGATTAGTGGCGAAGGAGGATGAATCAATGAGTTTGTACGTGTAACTGTTTTTGTTTCTTTGTTCATCGATAATCATTTCCAATCTATCCTTCTTCTCCGTTGTGTTCCTGTGTTTCGTTGAGGTGTCGACCGGTTCAGTGCAAGTCCAATCTGACGTTGAGAGGACTTTTGGTGACCTGTGGGGTCATTCGAAAAAGCAGAGATCCCATGAACACCAGCACGTGTACATGGGGAATGGATTGCAATGCCCAATGAGAATCCAAGTTTGGTTCTGGTGGATTGCAAGCTGATGCAAGCTGCTGTGGAATGGATAAAGCGTCCGACTTGACCGTTCCTCCTTGTTGGGTGGGTGCACGTCCGTGACAAACAACCTTCTCCCTCACAGACTCTATACAGACTCTATACATTTTTTTCTAGCCAGGCCTATCGAGCTATGGTTGACATTTGTTCGTGAAAATTCCATCCCAACCTCTGAGGCTCTACTACGTCAATTTCACCATTGCGTTCCTGTGCACCGGCTTTCTGGTGGGCTTCCTCGGAGGTTCCCTGGGCTCCGGCGGCGAGGCCTATGACTTCCACACGCCCTTCATTGATGAGATCTCAGGCGAAGCGAAGGTTTCCAAACAGGTTTGTTTCATGGGTGTGTATAGTATTTGTTGTTGGTGGTGGCAGTTGTAAACACCCGAGAAGAAATGCGGACCTAAGAAGAGTGACTGGGCCTTTGTTTGTTCTGGGTTGCGGCGATGTTTTCGTTCTTAGACTTCTATAAGTGTAACTTCGATGACTAGCCTTTCGATTTCTCTGGACAAGAAAGCGACCCAATTACAGGAAGAAATACATCTGCTCCAACAGACATGGAAGTGGCCAGACACAAGATATTACTCGTAGGTAAATATAGGTAGATTGATGTAAATTGTCTTCAAAGGTTTCCATCTTCCATGTCTGCATTTGATTGGAGAGTTATCGTCGATTGCACAGTGTTTGTTTTGCATTGAGTCACACACCCCTCCTGTAGCTCTAACTTCAACCAACAAGCTATCAGCACGAGAGAACATGACTCAGCTGTAGAAAGCAACCTGGGTCTATTGAAGTAGACTCACTCGTTCTGTTCCTGATGCAGAGTATAAGAATGAGATGATGCTGTCAATATGTAGCTCAACCTAGCTCAACTCATGAGTTTGTCATCCATACAAAAGTGTTCCCTTTGCCCGGCACCAGCGGAGGCACCGGCCATCCCGTGGAATGTTTCTCGAAAAGAGATTCAGCGATTCTCTTAGTCTCGCACCTTGATATGTTGCAAGGAGGTGCGTTGAAGAACTGAATCGCTCTAATGGTACCCCAAATCCTTGTCAAAACCTCAGGTGGCCAATGTTTGGCTTGTTTTGGACCGGTCAGAGCTCCAAATTCCAAGTTGTTTAGCTCACCGGTGGGTCCTGGAGAGGTAATCATTCAAAGCGATGGCTGTTGACCACCTTCCCAAACTTTGGATGTTAAGACACTGAAGAAGAGCTTACTCCAAATCGAAGCCTCTTGTAGACCTATAGTTTCACCTACTCGGGACTCCGGTTATTCAAATATTCAGAGCATTTCTAGGGCTCCTACAGGTTTTGATCCAGCAATTGGGCCAGGATTTTTCAACTGCAGGATCTCGTAGCAGGTCTCAGTGAAGGGATGAACTCCTCAAGCATCATTTGTTCACTTGATTGATGCTTACTTTTGCTCGGTCTGCAATTGACTAGAGGACTAGATTTTGAGGAAGAGAATCAATCGAAGCACACTAGTTGCACGACTTAGATTATGTAATCCGGCCACTTTGAAAATGGTCGCAAGCTTCTCTCAGGTTATTTGTGGGGCATCTCGGGTGGCATTGCTGCTTGGACGGCAGGTTGCAGAGATCCAAGCACAACACAAGCGGCTTGGGTCGTGTCAC